TCGCTCTGACCGGATTAAGAAAATAAGATAAAACCAATAATAGATATATTATTTAAAATGAGTTATTTTTAGGTCTGTGGTTGTCTTTCTTTTGCAAAATCATTTGAATATCGGATGTTTTATCAAAATTAATCCCTTTTGGTGCCTCTCAATCTACTGAATGATTAAACTTTTCATTAGTTTGTTTAGTTATATTATATATGAGTTCCTGCAAAATGTAATATTCCTTGTAACGTAGATTCCAAGAAAATTTTTTCTCTACTTTTTAAATCTAACCAAAATTATTATTTTATATGCAACATTCACGATCTCATTATTTAATCATTTTGCCTATTTGCTTCCCTTTGCCTCGATTTTTCTTTATCTAGGACTCTGATGGCAAAAGTAGTGCCTACGGTCACTCTGCCTTAATAACCAATTCAACAAACAACACACTTGTCTCTTCTGGTGGTCTTGTAGCCCAAAACTTTGGCATGAACTATATGAACGTTGTTGCTACATCCGCCTCGGCTAACACTTCTAGCTCTGCTATCACTTCGACGAATAGTTTGCTTCAACCTAAGATAGACTTCACCTCTTCTGGACTTATGCCAACTAACTCGACAGCTCTCGATGTTAATTCATTTTTAGTGAATGGTTTGTGTCTATCTACTTCGACTAATTCGGCTGGTAACATGGATTCGCTTCCTATTGCTCATGCCACCGTTAAAGAAGCTGAAAAGATTGGGCCTTCAACAGCGCCTGTTAAACTTGTGGCATTCTTACCTAGCTGCTTGGTCTCTAATCCCGACTCCAAATGGTCGACCCCTGGCTTGGAGATCGGACAAAGATCCATTGTAGGTCTCGGTTCTGGATCCGGTGTTGATTTTTCTCCCTGCTCACTGGTTAACTTTGGACATGATCTAGGAAGTTCAGGAGCAAGAACTGGACCAGGCACAGTTATTGGTCTTGGTTCCGGTTACCAGAAAAATGAACCCTTAGAAAAACAAGTACTTTTTATGATGCATCGCGTGGCTGGCTGCGATTCTTCTCTTAGTTTAACTCATCTTGACCGTTCATGTTTGGAGGCTCAGAATTCGTGTGTTGCTGATACGCCAATTAACAACCTAAGAATGTGGGCGCCAAACGAGATAGAGACTGAGGCTTCGAGGCAATCTCAGCTCCCTCCATTTCAACAAAAACAGTCTGGCTCTGATTCCCAGCTATACTCTTGCTCTGCAAATCCCCTTTCTCAATATCATAGTGGCAATCAATCACGAACTAGTCAACCCCAGTTTGGTGGCCATCTTGCACTGCCGTCTTCTTCATGTCGGGTTCGATCAGACGTGCCCATACCTGATGGGTCTAATAATAATGATCCTATTAACACCTCCAGGTATGTTTGGAGCTACTAAGTTAATCTTATTTGTTTGCTAATTATCATTTATGTTTAAGATTTGTTTCCGCAAATCACTGGCGAAGTTCGTCATTACACCGGTCTCTACTTGGAAATCTGATGATAATATTCATATTTTTTTATATATACTTCTCAACTATGAATCCATCTTGTTTTCTCGAAGGTATGAAGACCATGATGGTGTGGCCTTTTGTATGGTCGTGGTCTCATTTCGTTGTATAGAAGTCGTTTGATCTTGTTTATGCAACTTGATCATATTGGCGGGAAGACCTAGAGGAACACACCTTGTCCGGAGTTCAAAGTATGCATGATAATTTCCAGAGTCGGACCATGGACTTGGTAAATTCCTAGACATTTCGCCGGCATCGTCAGTGGACTTTGCGAACCTTAGCACCACTACAACTCGTCAAGTTGACCTTTTGACTAATTGCGGTTTTCATCTATCCTGTATCCTCGTATCACCCTTTCAATATCACAATCTCTTACTTGTTTATCTAAGCCTATTTGAAACCTATTCATACTCCCCACTGGTTTCCACATCCCTCCCACTGTGCCGGAAATGTTGATCCAAGGCTGC